AGGGGATCCGCGGTGGGCAGGGGAGCCCCACGGCAGGCAGGGGATCCACGGGGGGGCGGGGGGCAGCCGCGGGGGGGGGGGGGGGGGGATCTGCGGCACGCAGGCAGGGGAGCCCCATGGTGGGCAGGGGATCCGTGGTGGGCAGGAGATCTGCAGTGGGCAGGGGATCTGTGGCAGACGGGCAGGCAGGGGATCCCCTGGGCGGGCAGGAGTTTCCCCCAGCAGGCAGGGGATCCGCAGCAGGCAGGTGAGCCCCCCCAAGGAGGCACCACGGGTGTCCCCGGGGATGTGACACCCTCCCGGCGTCCCCAGTGCCACCAGACCCCCCCCTGCCCGTACTCACTATTTTGCGTACGTGACTCAGCGCGCTTCCCTCTTTGCCTTTACAGTTTTCCACTTGATAGGGAGGGGCGATAACGACTTCTTCCATCACAACTATGTTCTTCTCCTGCCATTTACAGTCTTTAATGCTGCAGGGAAGGGAAAAAGGATGAGCGAAGGCGGCTGCCCGCGTCCCCAGCCCCTCTGAAAGCCCCTGCCTGTCCCCAGCGCGGAGCCGCTGCCCACCTCAGACCCACGTCAATCCCCGGAGGGGATGCGGGTGCAGAAGCCACCCGGTACCTCCTGGGTACCCAACCAAAGAGGGGTGCGAGCCTGCAGGGATGAGCTCGTGGCCGGCATGTGCCGGGAAGACGCAGGGAGCCATCAGCCACCCCCGAGGCCCACGTGGCTCTGGCCGGCACATCCCAGGATGCACCGGCAGCGTTCCATGGCGAGCCCAAGGGACTGGGCAACGCAAAACCCCCCCGGGGCTCCTTCTACCCAGCCACGCAGGGACATGAGTGACTCCCCACCAGCAGTGCTGGGAGCCGAGGCAGAGCGCAGGAGGCACCGGTGGCGCCAAGGAGGGGACTTACGTCTTGTGTATAGTCTGGAAGAGCTGCTGCCCCTCCAGAGAGACACCAGCACTAATTGCATACGCCTGGCTCATCTTCTCTTCCTTCTCCGTCCGCGCTTTGTTGGCAAGCTGGAGGGGAGACAAAGAGAGAGGGAGCTTAGCTGAGCGTCGCCCGAGCGGCGATGAGAGCTCCAAGGGGACGCAGGTTCCGCCCCGCAGACACAGCTCTGCCGCTCGCCGTCCGGATCGCCAATTAAATCAGGGTAACAACGAGCGCGCAGTTTCCACCCTCCCATCACACCCTTCTCCGCGCATCCCAGAGCGCCACATGGATTTCAGGCCACGGCTTAATTCCTTTTTGAGTCCCTGTCGCCACTGCCTGCGTCCCCCCAGTATTTTGGGGATGTGGGCACCGTCTTTTTGCATCCCCCGGTTTGGCCACAGGGAGGAAATCAGCTGCCAGGGGCCAGACGCACAAGCATCACCTTCCCCTCTGCCTTTTCCAAATTAATTACTACATTTTAGGTCCAAACCACCTTCCGCTGCTTGGTGTTTACTCAGGGGATGCAGATGGGAAAGACGAGCCCAGAATAACCACTACGTTAGGGCTGGTGGGGTGTAAATGCCTCCGTACAGACCACACAGGTGTACGAGCAAGTTTATCCCGGAGCGGTTATTCTGTTACAAAAAAAAGAAAGCAGAATCGGTTATTTGGGAGTCAGCTCACAACGTCCGTGTGTGGGGAAGTGCGATTACCCCAGCGGGGTCCCAGAACAGAGAAGGGAAACCCCGACCCCGGCATCCCCCACGTTAAATCCCACGGCCGCGGGAGGAGAAGGAGCTGCAGCTGCCTGGAGGCAGGAGACGGGCAGGCGGCGCTGGGCCAGCCGCCCTTCCCCCGCCGGGGCCGGCCCCGAGCTGCCGCAGTGGAAGAGCCACATTAGCATTGCCGCCCACGCCGGCCCTCCTCTTCCTCCTCCTCCCCGGAATGGCCTCACGCCTGCAAGCGCTCCCCAAGCCAGACCGGCTTTCTCCGCGCTGCGTGGGGACGGCTTCGCCCTTTCTAAAGCCCTCTTTGGGGAGGAAAAGTCCGAGCTCCCACTGAGCGCAGGGAACACTCGCATTTTGTAGCAAATAACGTTAATAAGGGACAGGTTTCCCCCTCCGTCTCCCGAAACGGCAGCCACCGGGCAGACGCAGCCCATTGCATCTGCGCTCCGTGTCCAGGTGAGCGGGGCTCGCTGCAGCAGCCTTCGGTTGCTCACCGTGTGCTCCTCAGCCTCTCGGTGAGCCAGGGAAGCCTTAACAGGGGGAGGGGAGAAGTAGGGATCTTTTCTCATCCCTGGCACAAGCTGGCTCTGAAGCTACCTGCCCCACTTCACGTAGGAATTGCTCTCTCCAAGACCACCAGTCTGGCTTCCAAACTGGTTTTTAAGACTGGGCGCAACATTCCCCAGTAACCTTCCTGCATCCAAGTCATGCACACGACCACTAGCCTTCTCCGGGGCTGCACCGACACGTCGCCCGAGCGGGGCTGCTCCCCGAGGCCGGCGGACCTGGTTCCCAACCGGCTCCATCGCCTGCCCCAAACCTCTGGGGACAGCCCTGCGATGAGGCGGGTGACAACGGGCCACCGCGAGGAGCCAGGAAAGCCTGGAGAGGTGCGGATGAAGAGCAGCATCCCAACATTACTTCATCAGGCGCTCCTAGATCCCAGGATTAACAGCGCCCAGCAAAGCCCAACCTCATCCTCCTGCTTCTAGCTGGAGTACATCAGCCCTCACCTGGAGCCGATTCACCTGCAACGTTGGTCAGTTTATTCATCGAGTGAATCCAGGGTCCCTTTGCTCTGGTCTTCCCCTACAATAGGATGCGCTCTCCCTGTTCATCACCACTATCCCCGGACAAGAAACAAATCGGACACGCCGAGCCTCCAACTTCCAGCCTCCCCGATCCAAGCATTCAAAACAGCCTCCTTGTTCCCAGCGCAGCCCCCCTGCCGCACGGCTTCACACCCCCCTCCAGTGAGCACCTGAAGGCGACGGGGCTATTGAAGACTCGGATACGCACCTCGTGCGATGGCGGCATGAATGAATGAGTCACTTCCCTATTCACATCCGTATGAATGATGGAAAACGCGGCGCGCAGCAAGAAGAGGGCCGCCGAGCGCCGTGCCGCGGCCCCCCACCGCCAGGATGGTCCCCGTCCTGCTCAGGTGCCGGCAGCCCAGTCAGAAAAGCCAAGCACGGCGCACCCCAGGCGGCAAGTCAAGGGGATCCCTCCAAAGCCAGGCAGCTGACCTCTCCCCGGCACGGCAATGGATGGCTCTGCCACGCAGCCGAGTGCCGTGCCGAGGTCCCCCGGCGGGTGCCAGCCCCACGGGGGAGGCTGGTGTCCCCAGAGGTACCAGTCTCTGTCACACTGACGTTATCCCCTCGCTGGCGCCTCGCCAGCTCCTCCGGCCACCCCCCAGCTGCCGGAGCCGAGCCACACATCTCCCCCCTTCCCGTGCCATGGTTCAAAAACGTTCCCCGCCCCCCGAATTTTCACCCTGTGTCCCTCCTGAAGCCTCCCCCAGGGGAGTCTGCGGTGCCGTCAGGACATCTCTCCTGCAGCAGCCTCACGACAGCTACCTGCAGCCAACAACCCGCTCTCCTCCTGCCCACACCTTCCACCGCAGCCAGCCTGCACCCCTGCCCCCTTCCAACAGGGGCTCGGGCCCCCGCCAGCCTGGGCCCCCCATGGCCGGATCCTGCTGCCTTCCAAGCCCAGCAAGTCTTCTGATCCCAACATTTTCTCTCCACTGAGGACCAGGCAGGGCTGAGCATCTCCTGGGGGCTCTGCCTGCTCTCCAGGGCCCTCCAGAGCAGCAAGGGCTTGCCCCGGAGCACCACAAGCATTCCCGTGTGCCAACAGCTCCTTCTCCCAGTATGCCCAGTATCAGCTCGTCTACATTCCAGTCCTGCAGCGCCATCAGACCGCAGCTTGCCTGTGCATTCATGGGAGAGGAGACGTGGGTCAGAGTAACATGGAAAAAGCCTCCTGTCACTGGAGATGGGGACACGGACATGCCAGTGGTTGCACACCGACTTCCATCCACCAAAGATACAACTCGATTCATTTTTTCCCCCCTGCACCAAAATGCACAGCCATGATTTTGACGCTGGCAAGACTGAAGCGAGTATTTGAAGTCACGTGGGGAGTTTTCCCCTCAGCAGGCCCGTCCACCTCCCGGCTGCGCTCCCAGCGATGTCACTCGATGCAATTACAACAAACAGTCGCATCTTTACGGCAGTTGTGTCATTCGAGACCTCCACCAACGTGCTAATCCACCGAGGAGGAATCCCTGGGGGCTACGGACGCCCAGCCGGTGCCACCCACGTGACACCGACCTGCAGGCAGAGCCTGCCAGAGCCTGCCTGCCAGGAGAGGAGGTTTCCCCATGGGATGAGGTGACAACTGAAAAGCCCCACAGCAAGACCCAACACCCGGCTTCCCTGGAGCCTGTCTGTCTCCAGCCACCTCACACCAGCATCGAGGGCTCAGGTTCACCTTCCCTTTTTTTTTTTTTTTGACACCGTCACTGGGCATCAGAAGCGATCCCCTTCCAGAAGGACGTAGGAAAAGCAGTTCCTCAAAATTCAACTAACTGCACGCGTGCTTCGCTGCTCCTGTCCGCTCCCCCGCCGTTCGGCTTCACCCCAAATCGTTCTCTTTCTGAAGAGGACCAACATCTGCGTGGAGAGGGGGCTGCAGGCAGAGAGGGCATCCACCGAGGCCCAGGCCTCGTATAGCATCATCCACGGGACCACAAAAAGCACTCTAATGCGTTCTTAACCCAGGATCTTGGAAGAGAGAGCACCCAGGAGGAGCACCCGGCACAGGCTCGGGTAAGCAGAGTACCAGCTTCAGCCACATCCATCTTCTCCGGAAGGTTTTGATTTGAGCATCCGCATCACTTGCTGTCAGGGGAAGAACCTGTTGCACGTTTATGAAAGGCTCCATCCTCCCCTCTCTCCAGCCAGCGAAGCACCACGTCCCTCTACCAAAGGCGCTGAGGCTGCTGCGGAGCCGGAGGATCGAGACCACTGGACTTTTCCCGAGTGACAAGGTGCTTTGCAGCCTCAACATTACTAAAAACACTCCAGAGGTCCTGATGCTGAAATTCTCAGTCAGTGTTTCAGGCAGCAACTTGCAGCTGCCTGCCAGCACAGAAATCCACGTTTCCTCCTGCCGCAGGAGGTCGGCGCGCAGCGGAGCAGCCTCCAAAGAGGGCACAGGGCTCAGCGCAGGGCAGAGCCATTCACCAAGCTCCCAGTACGCACCTTCAGCGCTTCAACAGGAGGACGCAGCGTCAGCCGGGAAATTAAATCTACACGGCAGGGCCACGCTAGAAACTCCAGCCAACACTGGAGCAAATACAGCGTAAATACAGACCAAAGGGTGCGCAGGCGCCCAGGGGAGCCAAGCGCAGCAACAGGATCAGCTCCCCAGCCGAGCACAGCGCCCAGCCCCTCGTTCAGGCTCACGAGGACTGCCTCTGGGATGAAACGAAGCTGGGAGTTCCCTCTCCCTCGCCCAGGACCTCAGCTCCCACGCTGAGCGATCCCAAAGCAGCCGGCTGCAGCCTCGCTACAGAAACCCCAGCAGCAGGTCACGGAGACTCAACACACCCAAAATATCATCATCTAAACCCTTCACAGAGCTGCGGTAAGTCATGATTGAAGCAAGTGATTTAAAGTTTAAAAGCTACCTCGTCCCCGACAGCAACTTCCCCAGGTGAATCCCTCCCTCCCAGGAGCCTCGGAGCCCAGGTTCTTACCTTGCTAACATTGAGTGAAGCTAAAGGAGGAGGTGTTTCCGTGCGGTCATTAATTATTTCCACTTCTGAAACATACTGTAAGTTTACAAGCAGGATATCTGCGTGATTAGGCTTTCCACTGGAAGAGGGGCATTCTGGAGGGGAAAAAACATTAAGGAAAACAAATCCAGACGGAGACATTTACAGGCCTGATGCACAGAGCTGTCCAGGAGCAAACCAGGAGAACATTTGGTTTTCAGCAAGCTCCTCCACCACTCCATCCCCACTCAGCCAAGCACAGGGTCATCCGTGAGACCCCAACAACGTCAACCATCTCGGACCTATTTGATGCTGATTCAGTTTTCCTGACTATAGCACGAATTTTCCAGCCAATAACCACTGTACCCACAACACACGCAGCCTGGGATGCCGCATGGTCTCCTCCGAAAAAGCAATTTAGTCCCGAATAGCCGGGGAGGTGCGGAGGTGCTGCTGCCAGGGCCCCAACTGCGGTGCCGCCCACTTCCCTGCTCGCCTCAAGCACCAGCTGGTCTGCACGGGGAAGTGACCCAGAACAACCACCGCGCCTCAAACTTACACCTTTGATACCATAACTATTTCCTCTTGCAGGCAGCAGCTAAGCCGGAGCCTCGCCGGGAGCAGTCCCTAGCGCAGATGGAAGAGGAGCTACTCGGCGGCTCCCCGGGAAAGGCCTCCTCGCCCTCGCACACCTCCCGGGCGGCACCTCGAATGCAGCCAGGTTTGTTGTGGTCGGTATCGCAGCACGACTGGAAAGTGGAAATGAGACAACAGTGCACCACCCCCAGAAAAAAAAAAAACCCTTCCAGAGCTGACATTAATTCCTGCGCAATCTGTTCCCCAGGAGGCTGCGTCGTTAGCCCTCCGCTCCCTCAGCTGCTGGAAGGAGCAGAGAGCATGGCACGGAGAGCCTTTTCCACACCGATGCCATCTCCTCCTCCGAAGAGATGCTGGCGGAGGTCACTTTTCCTTTCCTCCGGTCCCCCCCAAGCCCGGCTGTGCAGGTGAAGCCCTCCTTAGCAAACGCCTTTCAATAATGGGGAGAAAACGAGGGATGCCCAAGGAACGCCGGTCTCATCCTTCGGGGGGATGAGATGGAGCATCCCAGCTTTGGGAGGAAGAGCCAGACTGACGGCAAAGCCAGAAGAGGAGCTCTCAGCCCTCTCCAGAGCAGCTCAGCCGCTCAACACACTAAGCCAACCTGTTGGACATCATTTAAGACTTTCCTGCAGCCTCCACTCGGGCCTGGGGAGCTTCCCCCACCCGAACCGCACCAGCACAAACAAGAGCTGAGCCCGGGACAGGTCCCCAGTCCCCCTCCAGAACCGCATCACGCCCAGGCACCCAGCAAGGCTTTTCCTATCACATTTCTCGCAGATCCAGCCTCCAGACACAAACCCCTCTCGCAGCTCCTCCATCACTCGCTCATTCCCTCCAGAACCCACCCCTGGGGCCTCGAGCACTCTTCCAGCCCCCTTCCAACACCAGTCCCTGGGCTGAGCATCCACCTCCCTGAACTCTCTGCGGTCCCTCTGCTGCTCTCTAACAGCCCTTTGCTTCCACCTTCCTTGCAGGTTAAAAAGAAAAGCACATCTTTTTTTTTCCACATGCATATATATTTAGATTTTAACCCCCCGAGCACTGCCTTCCTCCCTCTCCTCCACACGAGGCCCAGGGCAGCCTGAGACCCCCCGTCCCCCTCGCTCCCCCAGCCGCAGGGCACTTCTGGCACCAGCCCTCCGCACCCCCCAGCCCTACTCTCACAGGGGTCCCCAAATCTCTCCTAAACCCTGCAGGCCCCCCCTACCCTCAGGGGACCTTGCTTTGGCTTTGTGATCTCCCCTTAAATCCCCACAGGTCCATTGAGAGCTCCCCCCCCAACCCCACAGGGTTCTCCTGACCCCCGTTACACTGATACTTCCTTAGGGATCCCATCCTCCCAGGCTTCCCCCATCCCCCCTAAACCCCACTGTGCCTCCAAAGCCTCCCTCTGCACCCCCAAAGAGGCACCCATGCCCCCCCCAGGGCTCCTCCTGCTCTTAAGGTCCTGTCCAAGAGTGTTCCCCCCCCAGGACTCCCCCGTCCTCCCTGGACCCTGCAGGGTGCCCCTGCCCCTCCCAGACCTCGCCATACCTTCGAGGCCTCCCCTAAAAACCCCACAGCCCTGGGGGAGATCCCCATCCCCAGGCCTCTGTGGAGGCACTCACCCCCCCAACCCCCTACAGGACTTCCCCCACAACCTTCCTATATGGCACCCACCCCCAGTAATCCCACTGTGGGCCTCCTCACTCCTCCCAAAACCTTCCTATAGGGCACCTCACTCCCCCCCATTAACCCCACTACAAGGCTTTCCCCCCAATAACACACTAATGGGCTTCTCACTGCCCCCAAAACCTCCCTGTAAGGCACCTCACTCCTACCCAACAGCCCCACTATAGGGCTTGCCACTCCCCCTCAATAACCCTACTACAGGGCTTGCCACTCCCCCCCAATAACCCCACTATAGGGCCCCCCTTCCCCCCAATGACCCCGCTATAGGGCCCCCACACTCCCATTAACCCCACTACAGGGCTCCTCACTCCCCCCAAAAACCTCTCTATAGGGCTCCCCACTCCCCTCCCAATAACCCCACTGAAGGACTCCTTGCCCCCCCAAAACCCACCCTGCAGGGTGCCCCGCTCCCCCCAAAACCTCTCTGTAGGACTCCCCGCTCCCCCCCCAACCACCCACCACAGGGCTCCCCACCCTCCATTAACCCCAATACACGCCTC